GATAGCATGATTTTAGATTTTCAAGAGCACTTATCAGAAAGATTATTACAAACTGAACGAATTTGTATATTTTTGTTCGGCAATAACTCGTTATAATTGATGTTTTATGGCACTTTGTTAAGTTTTAATCAATATTTGATTAGTAATTTAAACACTGACAAAAAAAAACATAAAAGGTGTCACTCATGAGCTGCAACTTTCCAAAATTTGATCCCTAATTTTAGCAGTGATTATCAGCTATTCTTTTTTGTGTTCTGTGCTAAATTATGTTCTGATAGTTATATTTCATAAATGATATATTGTGCAAGCTGTCGTTCGATATAACAAGCTCTGTTTCAGAAAACACACTAATTAACTAGTTTTTAAATATTGAACTTTCTGTTTGATACTCAATTTTTAAAATTACTAATCAATTAAGAATTTCTCTTCTGTCATTCGATAACAAAAATATGCATGAAAATACTACGTGTCATAAACTTTTGCGGTCTGTTTTAGTTTCGATCAGAAATATATTTTGCATCTTTAGAAATTCTCAAAATGTAATTTAATAGTGTTTATAGAATCGGCGAATAGTTCCGAGCACTGTTTTTTAAGATTATTCGCCATTGTTCCGAAAAATATAGGATTTTCACACTGTCGTTTCAATGGGATCAGGAGAGAAAATTGTTAATTCAGAAAACATTGTAATAGAGAAATGGCCAGCATATGAAGGTGCTTACATGACAAAGGTATTGTTGTTAAATCTCGCGAAATATTTGTAATCATTCTAAAGGAAGAATCCTTTCGAATTGGACATGGTAGTGTAAAGATATGATCGATGGTATCATCTACAACATCAATACCAACATACCATTGTCGTTTTTGCCAAAATTCTCTTCGAAACGGCTCCAAAAATTCCTCAATTGTTAGGGTAACGTCTGCAGTCGATCCAGTAACATAGAATCGAAAGAACCTTAGATGTGGAACAAGCTTCAGGATGGTTTGTTCCCATTGATGAGCAAACATGTTGATCGGTTCCTCAGAAGTACCAACGATAGATAAACGAATTAGATTTGGCATGTGTAGTAGTAAATGGGTCTCGATAAAATTCAATGAGATTTGATCCCATTCTATGAATAGAGTACGGAGATCGAGTAATTTGAATGGCACAGGATTCTCATCGTCACCATCGTCGTCGTCGTCGTCATCTGAATCAAAGAACCAATCATCTTGATCCTCGAATTTCACACTCAGATGCTGAAGTTGTGGTGTATGAAACAATAGTGAAGTAAGTGCTGTTTTATATATTGGACTACAAGTGAGGCGACGAAGATGATTAAATGAAGACACGAACGACAAAGAATTGTCCTCGAGTACCATGCCATGTATTGAGAGAGAGTGTGTGGAACGCAAAAGCAATGGTAGACACTGAGAAAACTCGACTTCCTCATCTTGAACGGAGACGTATAAATTATCGAGTGGAACAATTTTGAGTTGACTCAAAATCCTTTTCAATTGTTGCCAATCATCAGTCTTAATGATTCTCAGCGATTTGAGTGAGGTGAACTGAGTAGGATGGGAACAATGAAAAAAGGGAGATACGTGTCCGTATGAGTGTGTATTGAAGGTATCATTCAAATCCGCATTGGCCAATGTCAATGATTCAACCATTTTCGGATCCATTCGAGCACAGATCCTATTAAATTCATCTATTGAAGTATCTCGAAAATCGATTCGCAGGCGTGTTTCTTCCACAAGTTTTGCCAATCGTCGATTGAGTGGATATAAACCACGAAAGATATCAATCACTGGCAAATATTCAAATAATTCACGCAGTAATTCATTTGGTAAAGATTCTAGATTGAGTTGATCTAAAGAGACATTTCAAAGATTATTTCATCTATTTAATTTTTGTTTTTTGAACAACTATTTACTTGATTCTACATTTCTAGGACTTGTTTCGTCAATTAATTCATCTTCTTCTCTGACCTCAGATATGACAGATCGTCTATAAACCAACTAGAATAAAGCATTTCACATACAATTTCAGAGTATGAACAGAGAAGAAGAAAAATCTGGCAAACTACTTACATTATCATTGCTAAATGGATCAGAATTGCCATCTAGCACGATGTATCCAATGTGTCTAGTCTGAAAAAGAAAGATACTCGTCAAATTCGAATGACGATGTAGTTACCTGTGAGAAGTGTTTTCGATAATTTCCATATTGAAATGCTCGTTTGCGTTTATTAACGATTTGCTTACTTTGATCATTCATCATGAAAATAATCTACAGGCAAAGAAGCCACTGAATTATGCAAGACAGCCCTCTTTTATCAGTGCACGCAATAAAAAAGAATTAACTAGATTATTTGTTAAGAGTAACATATGAAAAAAGAAAAAAAACAACACGCAAAAAAAAGGGAAGAAGGGTGTGAATGAGAGTACCATTAGTTTTTTCCCTCGTGAATCATAGGATGAGTAATCCGACAAACTCATTTATATAGTATCGTATTTTTTTGCGAACTGAACCAAATTCATCAATCATGTATTTACTTCACAGAAAAATTACAGTAAAGCTTTCAAACTCTTTCCAAAAGTTATTTTTAACGCTCAAATGATATGAAAAAAATTTTCATGTAATATATAAAATGATTTCTTTTTTTTTTTCCTTTATTTTCGTTCTTATCTAAACAATGCACTGTAATGACATCATTTTTCTCCTTCATGCAATGCTTAGAAAAGAATGAAAGGAAAGAAGAAAAAAAATTGGTACATATGTATATAGCGCTACAATAAAAAATTGAAGTATCTCCTCATTGGTTCAAGCAAATTGCCTAATTTTTTGGTTAGTGGTAAAAGTTTAAAATAATAAGTTATTCTAAAAGTTAACGGTTACAAAATTTTGCATTTTCAAACATGAAACACTGAATTTTGCAAGAAAGTTGGTGTTTTATTTATGGAAGATGAATTTCAGCATTTCAATGACTATGATTCATTTAAAAAAAAAACAAGAATGAATATTTTTGAAATCATTTTTGGTAGAAACAAGATAGAAAGCTATGATTTTCACCGTTTAAAAGAGAAGTGATACTGCACTAAATCATGTAACCAAGATTTTGCTGACAAGTTTTCTGAGGGTATCTCGCTAAGTTTTTTTTTTAAATCGACGCTTTTAAGTAGGTTTATAAGGTGGAATTTTCTTCAAAAACCAGAAAAAAGTCAATTTTTTGAGAAAAATCTGCCGATAACAGGTAGTGACATGCTTATAAATTATGATTGGCTAAAACTTGTCTCAAAAATACCTTCGAAATAAGGTACTTGCCGCAAAAAGTATCATCAAAGATCTTTTGTGGTATTCAGTATGGTTTTTGCAGAAAATAATGGTAAGTGAAATGTCCAATCGAGATTTTTGCGGCCATTCTCTAGGCCCTAGTAACCGGTAAACTACGGATGTCATATATTATTGTGCATGTTTTCGTAGCGACAGAAAAAAGACGCCAATAATAATAGTGCTTAGATCATTTTGGAACTTTCTAGAATCTTCGAAAGCATTTTATGAATTAAAGGGTTCGACTGTAGAATCTAATTAGTCGAAATACTATGGGTTTTGGTATTTATTGCTATGAAAGGTTCTTATTTTAGGTGCCGGTCAGTAGGGCGATGATTTTATTAATCTAGTAGAGTCATAATAGGACAGACATAGAAAAGTATGAATTAATTGAATTCTAAGTTTGGGTAAAACTCAACAATATATGCTAATGTTCGTCGAAAGAAACTATGGTGTGCACGATAGCTTCCTGAACGATTAAATCAATGTGCATAGCAGACTAATATGGATGATGAATCAACAAAACAAAGAATAAAATGATATTTCTCGCTTCCTAGACTATGCATCGTATATATTACTATTATGAGGAAAGAAGTTATGTATTGATGATGTATTTGACAATATAAATAAGATTTCCAGCATAATGATATTAAATGAATCTAATAAATTAGTAAAATAGGAACACTGAATGCAAACATTTTCGAAATGATAAAATCCCAGAGCACGTGTATCAACTATTAAAATTGTATTAGGCTAGTGCGTTTGATAATATTAACATGCGTTTAGTCACTAAAAGAAGGCGACAGAACAGAATACGGCCGATTATGTGACATATTTCGTTTGTGTGTCTTGCGTACATTGTGAAAGAGAGGACGCTTCGCTTCTACAAGTAAATAAACATCAGCTGGAAAAAAACTAATCATTTTCTTTCAATGATAAGCACATAAAACAGTTGATCATTGATCAAGAAAAAAACAGTCTCATATATTTCAAGTGTTATTTTCATTGCAAATATGCTGCCATCATTTTCAGGACACAAGGGTGGGTGTGGCGATGAGTCAAATGAATAGCTAAATCTAAATCCACACTCGTACCCACATCCAAATAAGAGTTTATTATAAATAAACAATCGATTTTTGAATATTTATTTATGAAGTATTTCGACATGAAAACATATTTTAATATTGATTGAGAAATAAATCTTATTTGAATTGATTAGAAAGATAAGTTATTTTCGATTCTCAATCGATTTCTAAATAAAAATTATTCAAAATATTGAAGATATTTTTTTGTTTTGTCAAACAAATATTTAGTCAATATGAAACAAATATTTTGATTTATTTATTGTTAAATGTTTTTCATATTAAATTTAATTCGAAAAATAATATTTTGATAAAATAGATTAAAATATTTGAATTAACAAAACTAATTGACAAATCAAATAATTTTTAATAATGAAAATATATCAATATTCTTCAGAAAAACAAAATCATTGATAGAACTAAAGAAGAGAATATTAATTGTTAGTTGATTTAGATTTATCTCAAATAAACTTTATGCTTTTCTACATAATTATGTGTCTTATTAATCACGCACAGAAACTTGACATTTCTTTTAAACAAGATCATATATAGATATATAATGAGTGCAATTGCAGTTCTTTTATTTATTTATAAATTATTAATAAAAAATGTCTTCGGATATTAATACAGTAATTAATTTATTGTATGTTGGAGATCGTTTATACGAAATAGTTGGTTTATTTATTATATTAATAAGTACAATTGGGAATTTGTGTAATTGTTTTGTATTTTTATGTATTCCACCATTAAATAAACATCCAAATAATTTATTTTTGATTGGTTCATCAATAGGAAGTTTTATATATATAAATATTGGTTTATATTCAGCATTAATTCGTATATGGACTGGAATTGATCCATCAAATCGATGGTTATTTTGGTGTAAACTAGCAACTTGGTTAACATATTCAGCTGGTTGTTTTAGTTTTATGTGTCATTGTTTATCAGCTTTATCTCAATATCTTCTAACATTACCAAAAGTTAAATGGCAAAGATTAATAACACCTATTAGAGCTCAATTAATTATTTATTTATCAGCAATTTTTTGGTTATTTGTATTTATTCCATTGGTTATTTATTATAATCATATTGAAACATCAACTAAAACCTATACTTGTCAAAGTTCTCGTCCCTTCATAACAATTTATGGAACATATTGGATTATAATTGGTTATTATTTTTTACCAATTATTTTAATATTATTATTATTTTGTTTAACTTGGATTAATTTAAAACAAATTTTAAGACGTCATCGTACATTAACTATTGCAATAACTCGTATGATGCTTATACAAATGAGTGTTTTATTAATAAGTGGATTACCAGCAGGTTTTTATTTATCATATATATTAGCTACACAATATTCAAAAAAAACTCTTCTTAGATTGGGATATGAATATCTTATTTTACTTATTTTAACTTTATTTACTTTTTTTACAAATGGAATTTCTTTTTGGATTTACTTAATTGCATCAAAAACATTTAGAAAAAATATAAAACAATTTTTATTTAAATTTTATTTCCTCAAAAATCAAGTAAGACCATTTACGATGACAATAACAAGACTTAATCCACCTCACTAATTCTTTTTGTCTTTTATCAATTAATCAAATAAATAAATAAATCATCGAAACTATTTTCATGTTATTATAGAACATTTATATTCAACAAAATTTTTATTTTAATATATATATATATTGGAAAGATGTTTTTTTTTTTTTGTTTGTTACAGATTTATTTTTATTGTAAAACTAACAAATATTTCAAATTTACAAAAAATCTTCATTTAAATATTGTATATACTAACTTATTTTAATAAAACTTGGAAACAAACTCAAATATTGTCACTCTTTAGTGTCTTATTTTGATAATAATTTGTTATAAATGGTACTGTGACAGTTGTCTTGACGTAGATTAAGATTTTATTCAGTATCAAAGATAATCACAATAAAAAATGTCAAAGATATGTGCTGTTACCCTTATTATGAGACATTTTTATTTTCACTAAATAAACAATAAAACATGTTAAAATAATAGATAAAGATTATCATCATTCGATTTTTATCAAAATTGATCAAATTTACGTAAGTCTATTCTTATAAAAAACAATTGAAGTGAACAATAACAAATAATGAAATTATTCATCTATTCTCTTTTCTTTATTCGTCAAAAAGAAAAAAAAAGAACATAAATGAACAAAGTAATTGCATAGGATAGTCAAAAGGTTCGGGCACTTTTAAATATGTATTCATCAAAAAAACAAACATTTTGTTAATCTATTAGTATTAAATGTTCAAATCAGTTTCCATTATGTTTAATACAAAGTTTCATCTTTTCAATCAACTTCTGGAATATATTTTGATATTTGTGAATATCTATTCAATTGAGCTCCTTACTTATTCATTTAGCTAAACTTATATCATATAAATATCGATCAAGTTAACATTTTAAGCAATTCATCAACCAGAAGAGTCGAAAAAAACAAGGACAGCAGCAAAATATCATGATCATATAAAGAAATTTTATTTTTTCTTAATGATGCTCCTTCTTTTTGTGTGACTTTATAAGTAATTTTTTAAAATATTCATCAATTTAATATATATAGAGTGGCCCAAAAGTCACGCATCCGAAAAAACATTGAATATCTCCATCACGGCTTGAGCAAACGAGCAGGTTTTTTTTATCGATGATAGACGCATGTTCAAGCTTTATATTCATAAAGACATTCTTAGAGAGGCCCTTTGTTAAGTATCATTATTGGTCTCAACAAAAAAAATATTCTTTTTCACAGATAGAAAAAAAACAACATACAGAGTGGCCGAAAAGTCACGATACCGGGAAAAATTGAATATCTCCACTACTGCTCGAGCAAACGAGCTAATCTTCTTGTTAATGATATAGGCATGTTCAAGCTTTATATTCATAAAGATATGTCTAGAGAGACTCTTTGTTAAGTGTATGTTTCTTTTTCTAACTATAATAAAGTAAATTCTTTTTTGTTGAGACCAATAATGATACTTAACAAAGGGCCTCTCTAAGAATGTCTTTATCAATATAAAACTTGAACATGCGTCTATCATCGATAAAAAAAAACCTGCTCGTTTGCTCAAGCCGTAATGGAGATATTCGATGTTTTTTCGGATGCGTGATTTTTTGGCCACCCTGTATATATATGGCATTTATTGATGTTCCACAAAGTAATTCATCAATAAATAATCATCCATTTTTCATGAAAAAACATTACAAACGTTGTTTTTTTTCTTCGAATGATTGTCTTCTCAGTATTGTTCAAGAGTCTTCTTCCTATTATTTAATTTTGCAATAATAAATCTAACGAGGGAACCTTTCGAAGTGATTCACCGCTTTTGAGCTCATATTTTGGATATATAGACGGGACCTCTAGACTAGAGTAACCCAAAAGGGATTCGGGCCCATAGGCCTCCTCTACAGAGTTTTAGCCATTTTTCTTCAGTTTTAGCC